ATCTCAATGTATCCATTTAGATTAGTTTAATCTCTATCTCGATGTATGTATTGAGATAAATTCGGAAAGGTCATGCCCATTGCAATAATATATTTATCTGCAATATTATTTATAGGCATCTGCACAATGTTCCCCGTATATGAAAGCCATTTTCATTTCCACTTTGGGCAAGGTTTTAGTATTCCCTTGTATTCCCAATATAGCCAAGTTTTTGTATTCCTACTTTGGGAAAGTTTTCGCATTCTTACTTTGGTCAAGGTTTTGTATTTACAATATGACAAAGGTTTTAGTATTCCTAATATGACAAAGATTTTGTATTCCCAATGTTACAAAGATTTTGTATTCCCAATGCTACAAAGGTTTTGTATTCCCAATATGACAAAGCTTTTGTATTCCCAATATGACAAAGATTTTGTATTCCCAATATGACAAAGATTTTGAATTCCCAATGTTACAAAGGTTTTGTATTCCCAATATAACAAAGATTTTGTATTCCCTATATGACAAAGATTTTGTATTCCCAATATGACAAAGGTTTTGTATTCCGAATATAACAAAGGTTTTGTATTCCGAATATAACACTCTGGTTCTAACCAGGGTGGTATGTGTTCAGTTTCTTCAATTTGAATGTAATTTAATTTAAAATTCAGAAAAAATTAAAACGCATCCACCGAAAAAAGGACAGAAGAAAACAATCGAAACACGTGTAAAACTAATCAAATTGGGATCGAAAGTCACATGTTTTTGGGATAAGATCAGTACTGTTTAATCTGCTTGCTCTTTTATCGTTTTTTTAATTGAAGGGAAACCTATAGTTTACGTTGACATTATAACATAGATCCTTTATCTACCTTAAATACCAGCTCCATCATTCAGTCTTTATAGATAATTTCAAGTTTTTAATCAACCTGATGGTGTACAACTTTGATATTTCATGCATGGAAAATTTGATCTATGAGAATTTACAGTTGCTTAGATACAAGGATTAGAAAATTAGAATTAGAGTGATGAGTTTCTATAGAGATTCCGTCCAATAGGTTTCGCTGAAGAAAAAGAGACTTTTCTTTAAAAAAGTTCATTCATTATGTATTGCAGCAATAGATAAATAAGTTAGATCGAGGATATAATAAGTCAATCAGTAATTAATAGTTGTAACAATATAAAGAATTAGACTACTTGCACACCAAAAATGTTGATTTCCGAAATAGATAAATGTTTTGAACCAAATCTCGAGTATTATATAAACAGGGTCATGGAAAACGACGACTTGAAACCCTTTTTACATAATGACCTTAAGAATTCTGCCATTAAAAATGGTGGTTCTAAGAATTTCGTTAATTAAGAAGCAAGTCAAAATGTGTAGGGAACCATTAATGTCTAGAATTTAGACTGTACGAATTTCATACAGTCGTCTCTGAAGTCTCATCCTTTGTGGGTAACCTTGTATATCCTTTAGTACAAAGAATGCTTTTACAGTGTTCCAAGCATATCATTTGATTAAGCCAATAGGATTTTACACTTCCGAGTCTAGCTGTAAACGTGCACAAAATACTCGAATTTCATTTGTCATTCTTTATATTTATTCTAGATTTTTATTGAAACATGTTTGGTGAGAATATATTGCTGGAAACAATATCCTCTCCCCGCATATCTTACATAATTTTAAACATTGTTTTCTAACTAACGAGTCTGAGAAGTTGAAGTACATAATACATTGTAGTTGGAACGGTAGAAGAAGGGATTTATTTAGAATTTACTCCGAACTTGGAGCCCGAGGAGGAACCCGCCAAGGTTTGGTCGGTTTGTGTGGGAATCCTCCAGGTTCCATCTTCAGAGCAGCTAAACATCCCATACTGTACATTTTCTTATTTTTCTAGAATTAATACTAAGATATGATTGGTACGCATTGTATGAGAGAATATTGAAAAACATTTGGAAAAAATATCACAAATTCAGAAATCATGGCATAAAGTCAAAACAGTATAACATTAAAAGAACTATAATAGTTAAAATGAGCAAAATCATGTAGAACCCAAAAATGTAAAAGACTAACATTAATGTCTTTTGGGTTGTTAGAAAGTAGACCAACGTTTTGGCAGGATTAGTTTGGCAGCTCCTAGGTTTCACTCAGTGGTTCGAACCACTGCTTTGATACTGCAGTTTAATCTGCAGTCTAACCCTACACTTTAATTGCATTTATAATACTGTTCAAATACAGTTTGGAGTCTAGGTTTGGAGATTGCAATTATACCGAAAATGTCCGACGGATCATTTCCTTGTTCCCAGTTTTATATCTGTAGCATGTACAGTGTACAGTAAATACTTGCTGTTTTCTGTGTACAGCACTGTTTAAATTATTCTCTTGTACATAGCAGCCTCCGGTTTAAAGAATTTTCCCCTGAATTTCTTCCAGGTTCTAGGATTTTCTTATGAACGCAAACTCCAGTGTTTCTTATCCTCAAGTAGCACAGTTTAGCTCATCATTCTGTAGGTACAGAATATATTCACAGATTTTTTTAGAAATTTCGTTTTTCCACCACCGAGTGTCCGAAATTGTCCGTAATTATATCCGAGTTCCTCTGCTTTCTACTTGTATTCTCATGAGTTCTCCACTTTAGATTCCGTATTTTCCACAACGGTTTTACCCTAGAGCGTATCCCTCCCACGGGGTTCCACGTGAAGGAAAATTGATTGATATCTTCAAGTGTTTGCCAAATGCCAGAGCATTTTGAATATTATTAAAGTTGAAGGGAGCAGGTCCCTACAGTGGTTTCGTTTAAATTGATCTCATTTTCCATCTGTCTCCATGAGAGCGATATACACAAGGTTTGAGTTGGTCCTGTTTGCTCCAACTACCCCATGGCACTGCTAGGGAAATATCAAGTAAAATACCGCATTGTATCGAGCTGGTGGCTTGCCACTGCCTGGCTGTGACCTCACTCGACTGTCAGGCAGCCTCGGGCCCGGCCTCAGCTGATACGGACTGTGCGCCCTCCCTCCTCTAACCAGAGACCGAAATTATACACAACCTTGATTACAAATTACAAATAGTTTAGGAATATCCCTTAGTCGTATTAACCCGTATACTCAAAACATACAACCTATTCTGTTCATTAAAGTAAATTTCTGGAAGAATAAATGTATTCTGGACTATGTCAGAGCTAAACTGCGTTTGCGTAGTGCAGTCAAATACATCAGTTTTCAAGCATCCGCTTTTCTTTTAGTTTTTCTTCCTCATTCTGTTGTTTATTATTTACAAATAGAGAGTAAATTTGGCTTAATAGTTACATGGTTTTGTCAGAATAGAACTCAAGAGGAGACGGAGTAACAATAATTATCTAAAAATCAGTTTTAAGTATGAACAGCAGCATTAAGAAACTGGAATATGGAATAGAATTGAGAAGAAAATGCAGTTTAGGAAGACGCAATTTATATTCATGATTCTGAACCTAAAAATAGGGTCATAAACTTAAAAAAAGAGATATTGTCTTAAACGGAAAGAGAGGTAAGGTTGAAACATTAGGAGAAACTACGTGTTTTAAACCTAAAGAGAACAATATAGGGTTATACCATTAGGAGAAACTACGTGCTTTAAACCTGAGGAGAACAATATAGGGTTATACCAATGGGAGAAACTACGTGTTTTAAACCTAAAGAGAATAATATAGGATTAGAACATTAGGAGAACCTACGTGTTTTTAACCTAAGGAGAACAATATAGGGTTGGAACATTAGGAGAAACTACGTGTTCTAAACCTAAGGAGAAAAATAAAGGGTTAGAACATTAGGCGAAACTACGTGCTTAAAACCTGAGAACAATAAAGGGTTAGAATATTAGGAAAAACTACGTGTTCTAAGCCTAAGGAGAATAATATAGGGTTAGAACATTAGGAGAAACTACGTGTTTTAAACCTGAGAAGAACAATATAGGGTTAGAACATTAGGAGAAACTACGTGTTTTTAACCTAAAGAGAACAATATAGGGTTAAACCATTAGGAGAAACTACGTATTTTAAACCTGAGGAGAACAATATAGGGTTCGAACATTAGGAGAAACTACGTGTTTTAAGCCTAAAGAGAACAATATAGGGTTCGAACATTAGGAGAAACTACGTGTTATAACTATACAGGAAATCAGTGTTCACAAATCTAACTATACAGGAATTCAATGATTTCAGGTCTAATTATACAGGTAATCAGTGATTACAGATCTAACTATATAGGTAATCAGTGATTACAGGTCTACCTATACAGGTAATCAGTGATTACAGGTCTAACTATACAGGTAATCAGTGATTACAGGTCTACCTATGAAGGTAATCAGTGATTACAGGTCTAACTATACAGGAAATCAGTGTTCACAAATCTAACTATACAGGAATTCAATGATTTCAGGTATAATTATACAGGTAGTTAGTGATTACAGATCTACCTATACAGGAAATCAGTTATTACAGATTTAACTATACAGGTAATCAGTGATTACAGATATAACTATACAGGAAATCAGTTAATACAGATTTAACTATACAGGTAATCAGTGATTACAGATATAACTATACAGGTAATCAGTGATTACAGATATAACTATACAGGAAATCAGTTAATACAGATTTAACTATACAGGTAATCAGTGATTACAGATATAACTATACAGAAAATCAGTGATTACAGGTCTATCTATACAGGTAATCAGCGATTACAGATCTAACTATATAAAGGAAATCAGTGATTACAGGTCTAACTATACAGGTAATCAGTGATCAGTATTTTGGATGCAGTAACATTTTGCTCTAAACTTTTTTTGGTCATGGGTAAAATTTTGCCTTGATCAGGTTTGCCTAGTAACAATTCGCCTTGGTAACATTTTGCCTTGGCAACACCGACATATGATTTTTGCCTTGATAATTTAAAATTACAAATTGTAGGACTGATTAGGGCAGCTTCAATTTTTATTTTAGGGGTTTTCTACAATTGTATAAAATTTAATCCTTGCTTAGGTTTCTCTGGGTTTAGATTCTGGGTTCCAGGTTCCCTGAGTCGAGTTCTGGGTTCGAATAAAGTAAATTTCATCTCCCTAGACCTAGCTCTATCTTTGTTGTTTGATGTCAGTTAGATATTTTCAGGGAACAGGAACACTTCATCCTTCACCCTTAATCCCTGTCTAGTTCCTGGTAGATATTATCAGGAACATGGAACACTTCACCCTTCACCCTTAATCCCTGTCTAGTTCCTGGTAGATATTTTCAGGAACATGGAACACTTCACCCTTCACCCTTAATCCCTGTCTAGTTCCTAGTAGATAAAACAGATGTATACAATTAGACCAGAAAACCTACTTTCTTCTTTTTAAATATTTTATGATAAGAACTGTTGTAATTTCAAGACATTCCATGCTTGTTTCACCGCGGTTCCTTTAATCCTTAACCTGATCGAGAATGTGGAAGATATTGTCGTTTTTCTTGATTAAAAAGTGTTTAATTTTAATAATTTGCTCCATATTGTTTCTAAAGTAAAGATGAGTAAGTCACTTTATAGAGGACCACAACTAAAAATAATCAGTTTTCAAAGAGAAGATGATTGATTTCTCATGCATTCTTGATAAAAAAGCTTTTAGGGGTACCGATGTGAACTGGACATGCCATTTTGAAAATAAAGTCTCCAGTAAACAAAGGGTATTTTTTCAGTTTAGAAAATTAGTTGAGTTTTTGCTCCAAACAAAAATTATCTAATCTCCATATCTTTTTTTTAAATAGAATAAAGTTTGAAATATCAAAGATCCACAATATCGTGTTGCAAAGATATTTGGATTAGAAAATCAGAGTTTGTGGCAAAAACTGAATTACTTTGAAAGTTTAATAACTTTCTTAATTACAAATAAATTGAAAGATTGAGATAGTTTAAAAGCTTAGACAGGGAGGAGTGAGGGAAATTATGAAAATGAAAATATTTGTTTTCAAATTTTACTCAAATTGATTTCTCTCAATTGAAAAAAAAACTTTCAGCTCATGACACGCTTGTCATGGTTAATAATGTATATAAAAAACTGGAATCATCATAACCATGATGACAAATAATTGTCTTTGTCAACCAAAAATCCATTGTTTTATTATATCTTTAAAATAGTTTCAATAAAATACAGTTCATCTAAACACCTTGACATGTTATCAAAGAAAATGTTTTTTGATAACAAGGACTTTAGAATTATATAGTGTGTTCCACTAATCATTGTAATTTAGGAATTGTTTTAAATGTCATCTTTAGTTTTTAATAGTTCAATAGATTAAAAAATACAATGAAGATTAAAATAATAATCATTTTTTTAAACAAACTTATTTTTAAAAAAAATTTTCATGTTTATTGGAACACTCATAAACCTTTAAGAAATATATTATTACACGTTTAATAGTATATTCTAAAAATGTGCATGCTCAATATGTTTATTGTTAAAAACATAGATTGATAAAAAATCGTTCTCTCGAATTTCCAAAATTCAGACAATATTGAATTTAAAAAAATTTTAGATATATTATTATTTATTTACATTCTTGAATTTTTTTTTAAAAATTCCGAACTCCATTTTAGTTTGTACGAATAGAAATATGATGATATATGGTTAATTAACCACACGACATACGACATTTTACTTTTAGTTATGATTTATCAGATACAAAGTTTCCTGAAAGTTATTAGATACAAAATTCCTGGAAAGACTAGATACAAAGTTTACGGAAAAGTTATCAGATACAAAGTTTCCTGAAAGTTATCAGATACAAATTCCTGCAAAGTTATAAGATACAAAATTCCTGCAAAGTTATTAGATACAAAATTCCTGAAAAGTTATTAGATACAAAATTCCTGAAAAGTTATTAGATACAAAATTCCTGAAAAGTTATTAGATACAAAATTTCTGGAAAGTTATAAGATACAAAATTCCTGAAAAGTTATTAGATACAAAATTTCTGGAAATTTATTAGATACAAAATTCCTGAAAAGTTATTAGATACAAAATTTCTGAAAAGTTATTAGATACAAAATTCCTGAAAAGTTATTAGATATTTAAAATCAATGTAATATATTTTCTTTAAATCTTCTGATGAAGTTTAGTGTACGGTGTAACTCAGGGCTCAGGATACCACTGAACCCTTGAGCAGGTTTAAACTTTAACTTTTCAACCTTTAATCTCTTCATTCAAACCCATCCATGCAAATATATCCGGGATGTCAGCATTAAAAACACAAACTTAAGTTTAAAATGCTAAAATAATAAGTTAAGAGATATTTTAAAGCTTGGAAACGTTAGATCCCGTTTATCTTTTATTTGTAAAACATGTTAAATGTATTTCATGTTGTTGTAAATTTAGGATGTTTTGTACTTTCTGTTAGATGTAGTATATGAGTCTATGTTTCTATGTTATGAAATATTTGTATTGTGGTTTCAGATCAGGTATTTTTTGTTTAGGGGTCGGGCCCCTATAGCCTCAATGGATGCTATGGAAGATATGGAAGTTTTTACTGGAAGTAATCCTGGTTTAGCTCCAGTATGCCAGGTCAAATATTTAATATTATCGTCTTCCATCTAGAAAATTTAAGGGATCCTCGACATGCAAAGATGGCAATGCCCGATTAACAACGCTCGGTAACCTTTTAAGCTTTGTTTGATCAAGTATGAATTATATATCAATAAATTAATAAATAGTTGTCATAGTTAACCCTCAGACGGGACTATGCCAAGAAAATTGACCCCTGTCGTATGTTAGTCTGTTTAGGGCGGCGTACTGTACCATAGGATCGGGTCAGTACACGCTGTTATCTGGCATGCCGGTACAAACTGGGCAGGTCCTGTTCGAATTCAAATTTACTATGGCCCAGAGTGATTAAAGTTTATCTACAAAAGTGACTTTTGCACTTCATACTGCAGGAAAATTTACAGGAATTACAAAAATTTAAAAACGACAATATCTTCCCCATTTCTTATTCAAAAAAAGGTTTCAATGTTACCGTTGTGAATAGGGCATCGCTATAAATGCATGAAAAAGAATTGAGTTTTTGCCACAAACTCTAATTTTCTTATCCTTATATCTTTGCATTTCAATGTCTGAGACCTTAGATATTTCAAACTATGACTCATTTTAGATTAAATAATGTTAGTTTGAAATATCAAAGGCTTACACCATCAGGTTGCAAAGATAAATCGATTGTAAAATCAGAATTTGTGGCAAAAACTCAGTTCCTTTCTCTTGAAATAACGCGTAGAGTCCCTTTGAAAAGTTTATTATATAAAACGTTTTTAGGAGGAGTTACATAACTAACCTTAACTTTACTTAACTCAAGAATACAACCAACATTAATCTTAACTTCGAGTTAGCACAATTATATTTGCATATATATATATATATAATCTTATTGAGCCGAGATCAAGAACGACTTTTTATTAGAAATTATTAGGAAAGGTATATTTGTATACAGTTGAGCCGAGTCTAAGATTTTCTGAATTATAAAGATTCAGAGAAACTATTCATAATTTTGGTGGAAGGAACTTTAAACTGACCCTCCAGTTCTATAGTGACATGACCACTTAGATAGGAACCATGTAAACCTTTGTCTTAGCTAATCAGAAGGAGATATCCTTAAAATATTTCCAGATAGAAATACAACGATATCTTCTTTTCTAGATAGAAATATGCCGATATCTTCTTTTCCAGATAGAAATACGACGATATCTTCTTTTTCAGATAGAAATACGACGATATCCTCTTTTCCAGATAGATATACGACGATATCCTCTTTTTCAGATAGAAATACGACGATATCCTCTTTTCCAGATAGAATACGACGATATCTTCTTTTCTAGATAGAAATACGACGATATCTTCTTTTCTAGATAGAAATATGCCGATATCTTCTTTTCCAGATAGAAATACGACGATATCTTCTAATCCAGATAGAAATACGACGATATCTTCTTTTTCAGATAGAAATACGACGATATCCTCTTTTCCAGATAGAATACGACGATATCTTCTTTACCAGATAGAAATACGACGATATCTTCTTTACCAGATAGAAATACGACGACATCTTCTTTTCCAGATAGAAATACGACGATATCTTCTTTATCAGATAGAAATACGACGATATCTTCTTTTCTGGATAGAAATACGATGATATCTTCTTTTCAGGATAGAAAAACGACGACATCTTCTTTACCAGATAGAAATACGACGATATCTTCTTTTCCAGATAGAAATACGACGACATCTTCTTTACCAGATAGAAATACGACGATATCTTCTTTACCAGATAGAAATACGACGATATCTTCTTTACCAGATAGAAATACGACGATATATTCTTTACCAGATAGAAATACGACGATATCTTCTTTTCCGGATAGAAATACGACTATATCTTCTTTTCCGGATAGAAAAACGACTATATCTTCTTTTCCGGATAGAAATACGACGATATCGGGAATAGAACATGTGCATTTATATCTTATATTTATTTATATCTTAAAAGTAAATAGAAAATTAAATAATAATTTGATTTTTAAATTGGGAAAGCCATTTTTTAAATGTGGGTCTCTTGAAATTACAACGACAATCCCTTAAACAACTAGAAAATTAAAAAATAATTTGATTTTTAAATTAAAATAACACTCGGTTGAAAAATGTTGAATTTGTGATTATTAATATGGAATAAAAAAATCTATTTATAAATCTGAAGAAACCTCTTCTATACCTTATTTGACGCTTTAACTTTGTGCATTTTATTGCATTATACTAATATTATTATTTCCGTATTTTATATAAATTTCTCTTGGCGAACATAGATTTTTAATATATGACCTTGTATAAGATTTAGTTTACTTATCAACTTCTCAATTTAATTTCTAAAAATTTGTTGATTAGGTTTTGGGTCGAGGAACTCTGCCCGGATTGAAGTACAGACATTTAGGAAAATCTGGACTCAAGGTACAGCTGCAGATACTAGTACACACAACAAGACAATTTATCTCAGTTCTTGATTAATTTCTTCTCTCCAGGACAAAAAGTTTCTCTGTTTCCTGAACTAACTGCTCCAAAACATGTGGTTTTAATAAATCTATCTTCGGGGGAAAACGGTTTTTTTTCACAAAACCATAAAATAGTTACAAATATTTATATATTTACTGCTTAACATATATAAACTATTTACTTTCCACCTGTTTAATTAAATGTTAAGATGTTTTCATTACCACCCCTCCTTACACTAAGGCTCTCCTAGTCCTTATACCCTTTGTCTCCTTATTCCTCCATCATCATACTACGTCTCTTTCTCCTCCTACTCCAACTCCTCCCACTCCTACACAGACCCGCTCCTACTCGGTCCTCTCCCACATCTACGCCGACC